TAAAAAAGCATAATTGTCATTAAAAGTTTTTTCACATAAAAATATTACTGACAAATTTATTGTAAATGCAAAAAGTTAGGGTATGTATAAATATCAAATGAGTTTTTCGATGTTTTTGTTCAAAATGTCTGTACATGGAATGGAATATACATGTATGCATAGAATTCATTTCAAAAATTCGAAAGAGAAATAATATTTTTTTTATTAAGTTAGATTCCTTAGCATTCTTTCGTGTAATATAATACAGTATGATTTATGTTTTCATTTTTATGCGAAAAGCTGTCAAAAATACATTTAAAAATGAAAAATAATATAAAATCATCATCGTTACAGTAAATAAATAAAATGGTCGTTGGAAATAAAATTTACGCAAAATGTAAATATAACTGACTCAATATTATCATTAAATATTAAAAGTTCTTAAGATTTTTCATAAAATAATTGATTAATATTCTATAACCTCCACTCATTCAGATAAATGCACAAAGTAAATATGTCTCTTAAGTTTCAACCCTTTTGTTTATGGAAATATAAAATTTAAAATGTTTGTATATATTGTCTTCCACTATATAGTAGGATATAAATCTGTAATCTAGTGGAAAATATATACCATTTTGTCAACACACGAAAAAAAAGCAAAACTTACCGCAATCTCTTTGATATGCGGCCGTATGCAATAAAATAATAGCATGATATTTTCCACCGTAACTTTATAACACAAAAAATATTTCTGTTAAGAAAACCATTTTTATTTTCAGTTTAAACTTCGAACAAAGAGAATAAACGCAGATATTTTTATTTCTTCCAAACAATTGAACACAAAACAAAACAAAAAAGGAAAGTAAACTCGCTCAAATATTTCACTTCGACGGACAGCATTTATTCTTTGTTATACCAAAATTTTGTGATGCGTTGTTTGTAGGTATTGTAATAATCATTATAGTCCTAAGCCGAACTCTACAAATCAGAATAGCGTGGGGAAAGGTGGTCTGTTAATGGCCATGATAAGACGATAATAATGTATAAACGATTGTGGCCCAGACTAAGGTGCTTTATATTCGCTCTATATAATAATATATACAGAATGATTCACCAAGTATGCTCGCTACCTTTTTCTTCTTCAGTAATGCAGTAAAACAAAATCTGACGTTTATAACTTTTTTAAATACTTAAAAAGATTTCAAATTCTTGAGATTTGTTTACTACTAAGAAGTGTTCTTAAGGAAATAAAAACGTACATTTTCATTTTCAAGTATCAATCTCCCAACTGTAAATTATTCAGTGGATAATTTTCTAAAAATGTTGATATTTCAAAATCAAAATTCGAACAAGTAGTTTTTGAGTTATTTGACTTTTTACATGGAGAATAATCAGTTTATGAAATTCGGAAGATAAAAGGACTATAGTAGTTTGCAAATTTTAGTAATCTATATACTGATCCATCAATTATTTCTAATTTATAAAAATGATCCAAGTATAATAAAAACTAGATTTGATTTTAAATCTATTATTCATATTATTATTAAGTTATTTTCAAAGATTATTATCATTATTTTAAACATTTAATAATTGAAAAACTACTAGTTAAAATTTTGAATTGAGCAAATAAAAATGTTTAAAAAAATCATTCGGGAAATAATAAATTTTCAAAAAATTGGAAGAAAATCTAAAAATGTATTAGGTAAATTTCAAAAATCAGAATTTGAAATAACTCATTATTAAATTAAAAAACGGAGTTAAACATGCTTGGCGAATCACTCTGTATATCATGTTACGTATTGGACGATTATACCGTAGTTTAACAAATGAAACTTATTGGATCGTATGAATCCTGGTCGTTGAAGGTAACGGTATATTTTAATAATCACACAGTGAAGACAAATATAGCTGCTCAACAAATTACAGAATCAATAGTTATATTATAAATTTTATTGTACAAACGTTGTTTTTGATTAATTTGTTACATAAATATTGTGAATTTCGATTTAATAGAAAAAAAAACACGCATATATTTTTATTTAATAATTACGATATTAACTTTCGTAATGTTATGTATTATTTCTTACGACGATCCAGTTTCATGTCTGTTGTCTGACAATTTTCTCAATGTTCATGATAGTTTTATTATAGATTGTGAGTATAACGATGAATGTATTGATTAAACCATAATGTGTACGAAGCATTTTTTTGTGTCTGCCATCACTTTTTGTAACACTAAAACTGCTTAAATTTTCTACTTCAATATGTTTTCTGGTAGGTAAATTAGAGTAATTTTATTAGTACTGAGAGTGAAGAAATAAAAAAAAAATTTTCTATAACCTTTCTCAATAATTTGAAAAACAAAAAAGAAATTAAAAAACGAATAACTGTAGATACTTGAAATTTTCATCAAATTTTTGTTTTGAAATTTTCTATATTTTATTTTCAATAATTGTATTAAAAAAAAAAATAAAAATCTGTTTGGTTAAAATTTGATCTTCATAATTTGTATTACTGATAATTAAAAAAATTGAGTGTAGTTTCACAAATATTTTTATGAACATCTTAAGTTTAAAGTTTGACAAAATTGAATTTTTACTTTTCACTAAAAATAATAATTTCTCATCAAAGGATTTTAGTTTTTCTGTTGTAATTTAAAAAGTATAAATCATAGAAACTTAAAACATTCCAATTTTACTTAAATTATCATTTTTTATACTCATTGAAATTTTCAAAAAATGTTTACTTTTTTGGGATATTTAAAGACTAAAGGCATTCAACATTTTCGATTTTTTGTTTTAGTTGTTTGGATCGATTTAAAATTTTTGTCGAAAAGTTTAAAAACATAATTCAAAGTTTCTCATTATTATTTCATACTAAAATAGAAAAGCAAAATATTACTTATATATCTTTTTTCTTTTAAACGTACGATATTAAAATCTCGATCAAATTAGAAGAGACCTATTTATAAACGATGAAAAACAATTTTAATTAATTTGTTGTTATTTTTAGTCTGTTGGGACTTGAAATTGTTGTGTTTTTTCATATTTAATATACACGGTAACATTTTTAAAACTTTCAGATTAATTGTATTCTATTGACTATTCATACCACGAACCTATTCACACCGTTCAACATAAAACAGTGTCAGATAGAAAATTAACAATAATATATACTGTTATGTACATTATTATAAGAAATACAAGTTTTTGGTAAAAATTAATTTAACTTATCTTTTACCGATTACTAACAGAAAAGTTAATCACTATAGCTTTGTATTTATACAAATATATCATTTAATTAACTTAATAATATAAAATAATTGCCTTCACTCAGAATTGTTTTTCATATTGGAAGATTTATTATTGAATTAAAACATAACACGTACCTACATTGCAATGACTTATTCAGTGATAAGATACACTTGACACCTACTGTACTCTGTACCTACACCATAGCGATTACCTGCTTTTACCCTTTTTTTTAATTATATGTTGTTAATAATGTTAATTTGTCTTGTCATGCCATAAATGCACCAAAGTGCTCTAGAAAAGAAGTTTCTTTTAAAATTTAAGGTGTACAGTTGTTGCAGATAAAAATTTGTTTTAAGATAGATACTTCAATTAATGAAATAAACAAAATTTCCAACTCCAATTATACGCACTATTGCGTACTAATAGTCTGAGCTATTAAAATCATTAAAAACAACTTACATTTTGATATCAGGTTTATTTTTATATAGTTATTATAAAACCGTACAATCTGTGTATGTAAATTTATTTGATGAATAAATGACATGAATAATTAATAAGGTGCTTGTTTCGAATGACGAAGGGAGTATATCATTGACTAAACTTAGTTAATACCATTACGCCGGCCATTATAGAGGTCTCCACACTATTCCAATTTTAGGGGACATAGAGTATTTTCTAAAAGGCTAATGGATGCAGGTCAGAGATAAGGGGATTAGGACGGCGTTATGGATGCGGTGTCAAAACCTTTTGAAACCAGCTTGGCTACTTCATCCACTTTTTAAAATCAAAAGTTAAGTAGCTTTTATGATTTCAAACCAAGAAATGAGAAATTTTTTACAAAACAATAATCAATAACAGTGTAGCATAAATAAGTTTTATACCATTGTACTACAACGAAATGTACCTAAATTGCCTACATAGTTCGTTGTTCAGCATGTCATATAAAAAATAAAACTGGAACGTGACTTTTCACCACTACTATATCATAGTATATTATATACTGTAGATTGACTTTGAAAAATGTATTCGTCCACACTAAACATCAGTATCGCCTAAACAATTATTTGTAGAATCCAAAATACTCGTGTAAACAAAAATGGGCCGTCTAAAATAAAGAAACGCATTGTTCACAATTTAAACGAAAAACAATCTTAAAAGCTAAATGATATATAACTGCAGTGGAATTTATATTTATAAAAGGCAATGTGTGAGTGTGTTTGTGCAAGAGATCCACAGCCAAGTCTATCGCACTGTTGGTTCTGAAATTGTTCGCAATATATAGGTAATCCTATACCGGCTATACCCGAGGGTGTGCCACTCGGAGTCAGTTTTTTTTTAATTTTACATTTTAAAGAGGGGCTCACATAGAGATAGATTTGTCGGCTCATAAAAAATAAACATTCTTTTGTTTGTTTAGGGCGGTCCCATTGATCACACGAAATATAAGAGTTATTATAAGTATATTAAATTTTAGACCTATAAATTCATATTCGGTCAAACCCGCTTAAAAACAAAAAAAAAAAAAAAAAACCCCGTGTTGACAATCTGTAAAGCTCACGTTTAACAGAATTGAATAGTGGAAACGCCGCGCAGAATTAGCTAGACTCGGCTACTGTCTGTATTACTTGACAGTGCACGAGGGGACAAGGGTACAGAACCCTCTAATGATAATATAATAATTTATAAAAAATATATAATATACGAACACTTTTCGTCATTTTTTTTATTATTATTATTATTATTATTATTATTGTTGTTGTTATTCAGGTTCAAGGAGGCCAGGAGGTATTCCAACATCGACGTGTGCGAAAAAATTGCTCCACCCATACCGGCTCGACGACGCGCGTCTGAGCTGCCTTCCAACGCCACACTGCAAGCCGGCAAGTCATCGGCGGCGGCTGCGTCGTCTCAATCGTCCGGAATAGTGTGCACGAACACCGATCTGCTGTCGATAATGAACTCGTTGAAGTCGTCGGCCTCAAAAGCGTTGCAGTCGACCAAAGGCAGCCCGCGGCCACAACGGGGCAGCAGCAAGACCACGGACAGCATTCCTGGCGGCGGCGGCGTCGACCGTCGTCGGGACGTGCTGCTCCGGTCCGGTCGGTCCAACAGCGTGGACGTGGCCAACATAGGCGCGGCGGCGGCTATGGCGGCCGCGGCCGCCGGCAACAGCACTAAGAACTGGTTCAGAAAAATGTCCACCCGCACGGCGACCGCGGTGACGATGGGCGGCCAGCGGGCGGCGGACGCCGAGTGCGCGGAACAGCGTCTGGCCACTGCCGGCGGCGAGTACGTGGTACAAAAGTCGCCGGTCGTCGTGACGTTCGCCGACGAACGGCCCAAGGTGTCGCTGTTGATCGACCCGGTGCAGGCCGGTTGCAAACCGGACAAACACGCGGCGCCGCCGCTGTCCCCGCCGCCGCCGCCGCCACCGCCGCCACCGCCGTCGTCGTCGTCCGCGGCCGGCCAGAAACCGGCACCCGGCGGCGGCGGCGGCGGCGACGTGGTGATGTGGGACCGGCCCACCGGTTCGGTGGTCGACGCCGAGGTGCTGGGCACGGCCATCGAGGGCTTCTTGGCCGCCAAGAAGTCGGGCGACAGCGCGGACACGTCGCCGACCGCCGCCGACGGCGAGCTCCACGAACGCCTGCAGCAGCAGTCCGGCGGCGGCAGGCCCGCGGCCAAAGCGGCCGCCGACTCGAACGCGGCCACCCGCACGTGCGACACGTCCATCTGTTCGTCGCTCAAAGATCTCTTCGTCAAATAGCTATAAGACCGCTCGTGTCGGTCTGTGTGTAATTAACATCACTGCACTGTTGTTTAATTACGACTAATCGTTATCGCGTTGACAATGTGGACTGTAATATTAATTATGCATGCTTTATACACACGAAAAATTCTCCCCCCGGTGAGCGATCCCCGCCCGCGCGTGGTACGCGGTGCCCGGACTTTCGAGATCGGTTTTTTAATTAACATCGCTCGCAACTGTTTTGTAAACGTTTTATTTTTTTATTTTTTTTTTTTTTATGTAGGTATTTATTTTTTATCTCGACCAAAAATAATTCATTTCGCCATAATGTAAAAATAATATTTGCAACGTAAACGATACTACGGATTTATACACAAAAAACACGTGCACGTTTAAATTCTTATTAAATATTATGCTAGGTATATTAATGATATGGATATGGATTTTCACAGTACCCCGTATATCACAAACATATTAAAAAATAAATAAATAAAAAAACATTAAAGCGGACTAAAAAATCACCGTGCTCGTAGATTTTTATCGTACGTATGAATCGATACTGCTATAACTTATGTAATCTATTCGTGCTTATACTCCTAAACTATATTCAAAATGTGTACGAAGTCCTACACGAATATAATATACACGACAATCGTATATTATCATTTCAATTGATATAATTATAATTATTGCTATTGTCGAATAATATTATAACGACGCGTTTAAATCCAGTGCTTATACGTCGTTTAAATAGGACTTATAGTGGTAATAACACTAATAACTAATAAGTAATAACAGACGACTATAATCGCTCGTTACCCATATATACGTATGTAAAATATATTCATATTTATGTTCGATTCCTCGCATCACTTAATATGATGTATAGATGTATAATATAAAAGTGGCGTGGCAAACCGGTGTACCTACATTAAGTACAACGAGGTCGAGATTGAAAATGGGAAAAATCTTTGAAATCGATTCAACAACTATATACACGACGAAATATTTTACGGTCAACGGTATCGCACAATAAAATACTAAAATAAAATCGTAATAAAATACTATATGCCATACGTCCGCCCTGCAAAATACAGAGTGATTTACCAATAATGGCCATTCCCATTTTTTTTCAATTAATAATGAATTTATTCAAAATCTAAATGTAATTTAAGACCGCACTTAAATTACTTGATATTTTTTGTGTTACTTTAAGAATGTTCTGTGATGATAATAACTTTTTTTTCAAACTAGAATCGTCCTTTTTACTGTAAGTTACTAAATAGATAATTGTTTTCAAAATTTTTAGTAAATACTAGATCCAAAAATGCCGGGGATTAGAAAATTCCGAAAGTCAGATTTTGAATTACTGCATTACTTAAGACCAAAAAGAAAATGAACAATACTTGGCGAATCATCCTATATATTACACAATATTATAATATACGCTAAACCGCATATTATAATCTTCTCTTACACTCATAGGTGTTCTCGCGTAGTAATTATATTTACGTCAGACGTGCACTTGACAACATATCACAATAATACTTATTGTTATGCCGTTATGGTGTGCCTGTGTGGCATAATAATAATATTGTAACACGCCTTACTGCCGTAACCGTAATCATACGCGTGCATGACGGCGAGCGGTTTTGTTAACAGGTAGGTAGGTACGCTTACAGGTTATAATATTGTCTGGGTTAATCGTTTCGCCGGCGATTAATAATAATTTATTTTAGCATAATATTGCACATTGACGGGTCCGCCACTAACCGTTATTGTATTGTAAGTTATATTTTACGTGCCTATTTATATTATGCCAACTATTAACCGTACCTACGTCCTAACTCCTACACGCTACTGTACGTCTGTACGTATGTCTGTATTATAAATTATACACATAACATACATAGTTTAATGAAATAATTAAAATTTAATGTTCAGGTAGTTTTATCCGTTGTTCGTACACTCATCTCGAAAATTGTCAATGTTCTTAAATAATTTAAAATCATAACAAAACAACATTTTTGGAAGAAAAAAAATTCCATAATCTTAATTATTTTTTATCGTTATTGTTTTGTAAATATTATACCCTCTCAAATGAGTTAACATACATTTTTAATTTCATACAACGAAACAGAATTTTTAACCGTTATGTATAAAAATCGAATGACGAACTGGGTTATTAATTAATTATAGGTATTTAAAGTTAATATGAGTGGAGTGGTGTGAAATGACACAGATGAGATAGTTCAGAAAATGTTGATCCACTACTCCACTCAACTACACTTTAAATACATATAGGTTTAAGGTTATAACTAATTAGATATTAGTTTTAAACAATACACAAAAAATTGTCAGAAAAATGTTCCATTTCGGAATATGAAATTAAAAATATAGGTAACTATAGTTCTTAAAAAAATAAAAACATTAACAGTGTATAACGATAAAATTAAATAAAAATATTGTTTTTTCATTACTTTAAACTGTCTAAAAATATATTATTAGAAATTAGAATACTTTTCGAGTACATTAGTTGTCTTTTAAACGAATCAGTTATCACGAACAGAATGATTATTTTAACAACGGTACATTCATTATATCGGTCCATTTTAATAAAAATCAAACAAAAAATTCCAAGATAATAATTAAACTCTTTCAAAATATTTGACATTATCTATGTATACAGAAGTCTTAAGACTATAGTATAAAATATTTAAAAAATTCATTCAAAAATTCAAAAATTGCCTTGAATTATTATAAAGAGTGTCTCGAGTTAAAATAATTAACATGGGGTACATAGTCATGCATATTTATTATATAAAAGAGTAGGCCGTTTAGGGGTATCTAAACTACAATCTGCGGACACATTTTGACTACATGATTATTTTAGACGTTAAAATTGTCCATACACCAATACCATTCTTCACAGAAATTCGAGTTTTTCCCTTACAAAAATCTTTCATATAGCATACAATATACGTTTCACCCCAAAACCAGGCAGTTACGAGTACATAGATTAATTTAAAAATTAACTACTTGTATTATCCTTTTTTTATGAAGTGCAATGTGCATACATTTTATAATCAAATAATCAAAAACTTAACTTCAATAAATTTACCTATGTACGGGAAAAATAAACTTATACGTTTATTTTTTTTTTTACTTAAACTTTGTTCTACAATAAATTTTCACTTAAACGTTACGCACAACGCATTTAAATGTCTCTTAACACCTCCTGTCAACGAGGTTTCGTAACAACCAGTATTAACTTACAGTTATTTGCTATTTATTTCGTTCGTTGAAATTTCTATAAAACTATAAATAAATTGTAAATGTGATTATATTATTTATACTATATTTTATATTTATGCTTTGGCCCACAAAAAGTTTTTAATTTATTGTAATATTGCTCTCAGGTAAAAAAAAGTTTAGATACCCCTAGCTATAATGTACCATGTACTTTCCGTTGCGTTTGTATTTAATACACGTACATATTAAACATAAATTGCGTTTGACGACCTCGACGATTTTTTTGTGAGATTTTTTTATCATTTTACTACACATACTCAAAGTGGCCCATTAAAAAAATATATATACATAAATATATACATACAAATATTAACCCTTCATATGATGTAGAGCATGGGTAAACGAAATCGGCTCTTACAAATACGAAGTGTAGGCACTCAGATAAAATATATAATATTTATAATATTATGCATGTTTTTTATATTAATGTTGCGTAAAAACTCATCATTCATAATTTAATAGACGGAAATACTGTATACACAGCTATATATATGTATATTGTATATTTATCCGAACGACACATAATCGATTTATGCACACGTCACGTTCTTTTTGAAAACCTTATGTTTAACAGGAGAAATGAGATGAGATTTTTCTTCTTTTTTTTAATCAGTAAATACGTATATGGACGTTTTCCTCGTCAGATTCATTCATATCTAACTTTTAAAACCGATCCTTCTTCCCATATGTCTTTTAACCAACACCATAACCACTGCAAATGTTTATTATTTGTTTATTTCTCGTAGACATAAAGACGTTTTAATGTTATATATATATACTACTGCAAGATTTCCATTGATTTTTACTTCTACAGCTATTTGGTCTTCAAAGAATAATAATTTAATAACTGTGCTTATTTGCGTGTAATGTGTGTTTCGTTCAATTCTCTTTTTTACATATCGTACGCCTATATCCATACACGCTGATTCATAAAAGCAAGCTCACCCTTTTTTCTTCAATAGTTCAGTTATTTAAAATCTGATTTTTACAATTTCTAAATTCGAGAATATTTTGTATATTTAGAAACTAATTTTAAAATACTTAAGATTTTTGTGTACTACTCTTAAAAGTGTCCTGTGGAGATGCAAACTTCTGTTTTTTTAAATGACAACCTCATCCTCTCTTCCAACTGTAAATTATTTATAGAATAACTTTTCTGAAAATGTTAACGTATTAAAATCGAAATTTTAAAAATTATTAAGTCATTTTTGAATTATTTAATTTTGTGTGCTAAGATCAATAGATAATATATTTGAAAAATTCGGAGACTATGGTAATTTAAAAATTTTAGTAATTTATCTGATCCAAGTAAAATAAATATTACATCAATCATTCAATATTATATCTTTTTTTAAACTATTATCCATTTTTAAGGATAATTATCGTTAATATAAACATTTCAATAAGTAAAAAACTGTTCGTTCAATTTTTGAAATTTATTCATAAAAATAGTAAAAATTATTCACTAAATAGATTACAGAAAAATGAGGCGAGCATGCTTAGTGAATCACACTGTATATACGAATATACTAGATGGATTTGATTTATATGCATGTACATTAAACGTAGATTGTGTAGATACCTAATATATATATTATGTATGTATATTATATAGACGTGTATAATGTAAAACACTGAAAGCTGTCTGAACATAATTTATGTACATTAAAAAAAAAACAAACGGTTATCAGCTATAAAACTTATGTATAGATTTAGATGCAGTACGAATAACGATTCGCCAAGAACGCTCACTCGAATTTTAATTTTTTAAATATTTACAATAATGAATTTTTTTTAATGTTTATGAATCTAAATTCATACCACAAGATATTTCTTAAGTAATACATAATATTTAAATGTTTGAAAGTATGATCTTCATAATTATTGCATAATAGTTAAAAGGATAAAATGAGATTTAACATGCTTAGTGAATCGC